TAAGTTCTATGCTAACAGTTTCTTTTTCCTATACTTTCACTTGTGAAACTCCCTTCTGATGCCATGTTTTCCAGCCAACTTTAAATGCACTGTCAATCGCTATCTACTGTCATCCTAATTACTCTTTTCTCTTCCCACTTATTATTAATGTTTTTTTCCTAATTCTTCCCTTCCCAGTAACCCCTTGTGCTTTAGTGGCTTTCTTGCCTTGCATTGGGTGACACTGTTTAAAAATAAAAAAAATACTATTTATATAATAATAATTCAAGCATTAATAAAATTTCTAAATGAAGTCAAACTTATGAAACTTTTTCTCAATACATTTTCTGTGAAGGAAATATCCTACTATTTTTATAGCCCATTTTAGGTTCATTTTAAATGAGAATTACATAGAAAAGCATAAAGTTGAAGGGAATTGTATAGAAAAACAAAAAGAAAAAACCCTCTTTCCTGTGAACACTGAAGTTGTTCTGAGAAGGAAAGGATTTTCTTTTGAAACCAGAAAATTCTTTCAAGTAAAACTCAAACAAGTTAATCAATTTGTGGAGAGACAGTTTTGGCCAACAAAGTATAAATTACCCTTTCCAATTCATCACCCTAGGATCTTGATAAATTCCAAAAGAAGCAAAGAATTTCATGACTTTTGTTTCTTTACCATTTTTTTTAAGTCTCAGAGGAATTCATTCAATGATGATATGTAGAGTTGGTTGAGAACAAAAGTTTCTTCCCCAATTTATTGTGATTCTTTTTCAAAGACAAACGTCTTCTTGCCATTGTCTGATTTCATTTCTCAACTTAAATTCTTTCCTGTGGAATAGATTCAGTATTTTTCAAGTGAATTTGTTTATAAAGCTGCAATGCCACAGGTGAAAATGTTTTAGATACAGTAACGACATGTAGGAATATGTAATGACTGGCAAGAATTAACTTATATTTATATAAGTATATTAATAATATAGAAAAAAATGACTTTGTCATTTACAGCTTTAAATTGTTACTTATCTATTGAGAATGATTTTATGTTTGATAAAAAAAATATGATTTTAAATATTACTTGACAAAAAGACATTCCATATTAAAATTATTCCATTTCTTCTGTTTTACTGTTCTTTGCTCAACCCTTGTAAATATCTACAGTCTGCAATGTATAAAAATGTCTGTGGCTAAATACTGGCAGGTTTGTTGCATTTTTGCTGTAAGTTTTGCACTGAACCTTATTTCTTGTCACTGAATAATAAAAAGAAGGTCTCCATTCCAAATATTAATCAGCATATTTGTAGGTAAGAGATTTGTGATTAAAGATGAAGATGACTAAGAAACATACATTTTGAATATTTCATTCATAAACAAGTTGTTTCTTCATCAAATTTTCATTGTCCCTGAAAATGTTTTTAGTTTTGCCATAATCCTTTCTGTCTTTTGATGGACAATGTTTTTGTTATTCAAATCTTTGTAACCTACAAGCATCTTTTTGAGAGTTAATTTTATTCTTTATTTCTCATAGACAAAGATTTTGAAACATGGATAGTGAAACTTAAATATATACAAACATTTGTTATTGAGAAAGATTTTCCAGGGAACATGTCAATTTGTTTACTAGACTGTTTGTATGTCAACTGTTCAAAACTTGTAAAGCAACATGTAATGTCTGACTTAATGTTTTGAAATTGGGTAGGACATCGCTATACCATAGGTAGGTAGGTAGAAGGCTGCAAATGACTAGCAATCTGGTTAACTTGCAGCCTAAAAACTCTAAAAGCCAAGAACGATCATCTTTTAGTGAGTTGTCAAATAGGAAGCACTTGAAATCATGCGTTTGATGTCCTTCCAAATGAAATAGGATGATGAATGTCAAGTTAGACATTTTTTTTTTGTGCTCAAGAACTTGGTTGTTGATAATGATAACATTAATTCTAAGAGCAACTATTCAGCAGAAGAGAAGGTCGATGCCCATATATTTAAACAGTGATCTTAGCTTACACATGTAAAGAATCTCATCTGGTACTGTACCTATTTTCTCCAACTGCCAACACCAGATTCTTGACATTTGACCATGTCGGTTTGATCCATAGAAGATGATTTAGATACTCATCAAGGTAAATAGATAATATATTGAATATTGTTCTTGATTCTGAAATTATTACGCATAATTTTTGTTTTTATGAAATATTCAAGTTATGAATTAATATTTTCATGGCACACCATGCACATATAAATTTTTAATTAAATTTTAATAATTAAATAAATTAAGATTATAATTGAACTGTTTATGTTACCTGTGATATTATTGGTAGGTTTTATGACACCTGGTATATGTAAACCATAGATTTTTTTAAAAAAAGTGTTTTTTTTTAATTGCTGCTTGTTGTCACTGATTTTATAATAACCCTGTCATTTGTCAACTGACCAGTAGTCATTTTTTTTTTTTCGCTAAATATTTCTAATGGTTATGTTTGACCTAAAATTTGTTTTATTGAATTTGGCAGCTCAACCTGAAAATCAACTTGTAAATCCAAGTACACACAGAATCGTCCAGGTTTGTGTCCTAGAGAAGTCACTCCAGTTTCATCACCAAAGGACTAAATTTTGACCAAATAGGGGGCTAATTTTATCACACTGTTTATATCAATAATTCTTTAGGAACAACCATTAACTTGTACTAAGAATTCTTTAGGGAGAAGTCATCAGCTTGTATCAGCAAATCTTTAGGGGCTAGACATCAATTTGTAACAGAAAGTCTTTAGGGAGTGCTTATCTGCTTGTACTGACAATTCTTTTGGAACCAGTTTTCAATTTGTAACAAAAACACTTTATAGATCATTTATATTTTCTAAAATTTTTTTCAGGATTTGTTGTCAGTTTGTATAAACAAGTTGACCTCTTTGAGTGTTAACAAAGAGAGCCAAATTCATAACAACAGTGAAGATTTTATATAAGCATGTCCAAGAAAGAAATAACAAAGATACAAATCCAAATATTGGCAAAAAAGATTTGGTTTTTAATTCTTGAAAACATGAAAATGTTGTAATCGACAGTCAAAAAGGTGTCAGTTCATTTCTCATACTTCCTGTTGATTGCTGTATTTTCAAAATGATAGGTCACCAACTTTTGTTCAATTAAAATAACAGTAATTCTTAGACATCTTTATCTTATTTTTATTTTGTAGAACAATTTAACAAAATATCTTCTGCCCAATCACCAAATATCTTTACCGGTCATCTGTATCTTATCAAATTCCCTGATGATACTTCAAATGGTGTGTCTCGTCTCTTGGACGCTTGCAATTTTCCGATTTCTGACAAATCAATGCAACAGTAACTTGTTTAAAATAAGAGATAATAAGTAACTATTCTTTGTCAATAAAATGATTTATTTTTGTAAAGGAAAAACAATAATGTGCTGAATATTCTCTACTATTTGTAATCGAACAAAATATCCACAAAATTGTTTCTTCTCTTTCTTTTTTCATTATTGGATTACTGTAATCATTTCCTCCACTGTCTTTCTCTCCCGAAGTGTGATTAAAGTAGATATTGCACATTTATTGCTTCTGTGTAATTACATCACATTCAATGTCGAATAGTATAAAAGGCTATAAAAATAAAACGAAAAACATAGACACCGAGTTTTTAATTGTTACTCAATATTCATTTTTTTCTTTCTTTTCTTACTTTGTCGTCTTATGTATGAGGAATCAGTTTCCCTGGCACCAGATACTCTTTGATTGCTTTACCAAATCCTGTCATTATTATTCAGTGCTGGCTTGTTCTCGCAACGAGCTTCAGTTCCTCGGTAATTGTGTCCAGATAATTTGAATGGAGTTGCAACCACCCTAAGCTGAATGTGCATTTATCATTAGTTGTCAGTGATGATTCTCTGAAGAGAAATGCTCGATATACAAAAGAATTGGAATCAAAGCTATTATTTATCTCGATGTATAAGTCGACTGTACATAAAACAGGCCCGCTTTTATCCAAATATTTCTTTTCGATTACTCAGCTTTCTTGATTCATCAAGCTGACCTTTCATTTGTGAATTCCTACCAAAGATACATGCAGTGAATGAGGTAATTAGACACATATTAATCTTTATTATCAGACTTAGAAATTATCAGAAGTTAGAAAATTGTGCAGTTGAAATTTTCTTTCTGATTCTTGTTTTGATCCTTTCAAATTTTGTGCACTTTTCTCATACAGACATAAACAAGAAAAGACTACCAATCAGAAACTATGAAAATACACACATGATGATATATTTGTAATTAGTCTTTACAAAACTCAAGAAAGATTTTATGAAACGTTTGTCAAGCATGTCTCTCAATCTGTGGTGACATTTTTGTAAAGTTCCTTGTGTTGGGCAAATAGTAGAAAAACAGTTGTAACAAAACAGGATACGCGAAAACAGCAAGTATTCTATTTAACTACATTAATGGGACATAAAAGAACAAGTAATTCAAGTGAAAAGACCCTGTCTGCCAGTTTTTAAAATTAGTATTAGAAACCCTACTTATCTACAAATAAATGTTTATCATTGGGACTGATAGAAAATATAAAACAATCTCAGTCAATTTCTAAAATAAGTATATAGTTAAATATTTTTAAATCGTAATTCTTTCATGTTTATTCATTATTACGAATGCTAAAACAATTGTGGATTATTTGGTCTACAAAAGTATAATTTGATTAAATATTGATGACAGAAATTAGATAACAATAAATATGTTGTATTTTTTTTAGAAAATACAGTTTGATACAATTTTTAGCTTAATTTGAAACTAAGTCTTTTTATTGATGTAGAGTTTCAGAGATGGTTATAAAAATTCTCAGACATTATTTTGTTTGCTTAATGTTTTCCTTTCTTTATAACTTATGTCATTAATATTTAAAATTGCTGCCAATCTATTATTAAATTATATTATTTTAATTTTTCTGGAATGTGGGTGAGAGACTTCACTTTTTTTGTGAATCTAATAAAATTTGAAAATATTTTAACAATATTTAATGCAGAAACAATTGGTAAATTTAGTTTATAACTTGGACATTAATAAATTTTATTTTCAATTTCTTTTTTTTTCTCCTTTTGTCTTTGTTCTTTATCAATTTATTTCTCTTTCATTTCTTCTCTCCTTATTTTCTTTAAAAATCTCCTCCTACCCTTCTCTTTCATTTCCTCTCTCTCCTCTTCTTATTTTCTTTCACAATCTTCTCTTACCCTTTCCTTCTTCTTTTTCACTTCTCTTTCATTTCCTCTCTCTCCTCTTCTTATTTTCTTTCACAATTTCCTCCTACCCTTTCCTTCTTCTTTTTCACTTCTCTTTCATTTCCTCTCTCTCCTCTTCATATTTTCTTTTACAATCTCCTCCTACCCTTTCCTTCTTCCCTCCTTCTTTTTCACTTCTCTTTCATTTCCTCTCTCTTCTCTTCTTATTTTCTTTCACAATTTCCTCCTACCCTTTTCCTTCTTCTTTTTTCACTTCTCTTTCATTTCCTCTCTCTCCTCTTCTTATTTTCTTTTTACAATTTCCTCCTACCCTTTCCTCCTTCTTTTTCACTTCTCTTTCATTTCCTCTCTCTCATCTTCTTATTTTCTTTTACAATCTCCTCCTACCCTTTCCTTCTTCTTTTTCACTTCTCTTTCATTTCCTCTCTCTCCTCTTCTTATTTTCTTTCACAATTTCCTCCTACCCTTTCCTTCTTCTTTTTCACTTCTCTTTCATTTCCTCTCTCTCCTCTTCATATTTTCTTTTACAATCTCCTCCTACCCTTTCCTTCTTCCATCCTTCTTTTTCACTTCTCTTTCATTTCCTCTCTCTCCTCTTCTTATTTTCTTTCACAATTTCCTCCTACCCTTTCCTTCTTCCTCCTTCTTTTTCACTTCTCTTTCATTTCCTCTCTCTCCTCTTCTTATTTTCTTTCACAATTTCCTCCTACCCTTCCTTCTTCTTTTCACTTCTCTTTCATTTCCTCTCTCTCCTCTTCTTATTTTCTTTTTTTACAATTTCCTCCTACCCTTTCCTTTTCTTCCTCCTTCTTTTTTCTCTTTCATTTCCTCTCTCTCCTCTTCTTATTTTCTTTTACAATCTCCTCCTACCCTTTCCTTCTTCCTCATTCTTTTCACTTCTCTTTCATTTCCTCTCTCTCCTCTTCTTATTTTCTTTTCACAATTTCCTCCTACCCTTTCCTTCTTCTTTTTCACTTCTCTTTCATTTCCTCTCTCTCTTTTCTTATTTTCTTTTACAATTTCCTCCTACCCTTTCCTTCTTCCTCCTTCTTTTTCACTTCTCTTTCATTTCCTCTCTCTCCTCTTCTTATTTTCTTTTACAATCTCCTCCTACCCTTTCCTTCTTCCTCCTTCTTTTTCACTTCTCTTTCATTTCCTCTCTCTCCTCTTCTTATTTTCTTTTTACAATCTCCTTCTACCCCCTTCTTCCGTCTTCTTTTTTTTTCTCTTTCATTTCCTCTCTCTCCTTTCATATTTTCTTTTTACAATTTCCTCCTACCCTTTCCTTCTTTTTTTTCACTTCTCTTTCATTTCCTCTCTCTCCTCTTCTTATTTTCTTTTACAATTTCCCTACCCTTTCCTTCTTCCTCCTTCTTTTCACTTCTCTTTCATTACCTCTCTCTCCTCTTCTTATTTTCTTTTACAATTTCCTCCTACCCTTTCCTTCTTCTTTTTCACTTCTCTTTCATTTCCTTTCTCTCCTCTTCATATTTTCTTTTACAATCTTCTCTTACCTTTTCCTTCTTCTTTTTCACTTCTCTTTCATTTCCTCTCTCTCCTCTTCTTATTTTCTTTTACAATCTTCTCTTACCCTCTCCTCTTCTTATTTTCTTTCACAATTTCCTCCTACCCTTTCCTTCTTCTTTTTCACTTCTCTTTCATTTCCTCTCTCTCCTCTTCATACTTTCTTTTACAATCTCCTCCTACCCTTTCCTTCTTCCCTCCTTCTTTTTCACTTCTCTTTCATTTCCTCTCTCACCTCTTCTTATTTTCTTTCACAATTTCCTCCTACCCGTTCCTTCTTCTTTTTCACTTCTCTTTCATTTCCTCTCTCTCCTCTTCATATTTTCTTTTACAATCTCCTCCTACCTTTCCTTCTTCCATCCTTCTTTTTCACTTCTCTTTCATTTCCTCTCTCCCTCTTCTTATTTTCTTTTACAATTTCCTCCTACCCTTTCCTTCTTCCCTCCTTCTTTTTCACTTCTCTTTCATTTCCTCTCTCTCCTCTTCTTATTTTCTTTCACAATTTCCTCCTACCCTTTCCTTCTTCCCCTCCTTCTTTTCACTTCTCTTTCATTTCCTCTCTCTCTTTCTTATTTTCTTTCACAATTTCCTCCTACCCTTTCCTTCTTCCGTCCTTCTTTTTCACTTCTCTTTCATTTCCTCTCTCTCCTCTTCTTATTTTCTTTCACAATTTCCTCCTACCCTTTCCTTCTTCTTTTTCACTTCTCTTTCATTTCCTCTCTCTCCTCTTCTTATTTTCTTTCACAATTTCCTCCTACCCTTTCCTTCTTCTTTTTCACTTCTCTTTCATTTCCTCTCTCTCCTCTTCATATTTTCTTTTACAATCTTCTCTTACCCTTTCCTTCTTCTTTTTCACTTCTCTTTCATTTCCTCTCTCTCCTCTTCTTATTTTCTTTTACAATCTCCTCTTACCCTCTCCTCTTCTTATTTTCTTTCACAATTTCCTCCTACCCTTTCCTTCTTCTTTTTCACTTCTCTTTCATTTCCTCTCTCTCCTCTTCATATTTTCTTTTACAATCTCCTCCTACCCTTTCCTTCTTCCCTCCTTCTTTTTCACTTCTCTTTCATTTCATCTCTCTCCTCTTCTTATTTTCTTTCACAATTTCCTCCTACCCTTTCCATCTTCTTTTTCACGTCTCTTTCATTTCCTCTCTCTCCTCTTCATATTTTCTTTTACAATCTTCTCTTACCCTTTCCTTCTTCTTTTTTCACTTCTCTTTCATTTCCTCTCTCTCTCTTCTTATTTTCTTTTACAATCTCTTCTTACCCTCTCCTCTTCTTATTTTCTTTTTTCAATTTCCTCCTACCCTTTCCTTCTTCTTTTTCACTTCTCTTTCATTTCCTCTCTCTCCTCTTCATATTTTCTTTTACAATCTCCTCCTTTTCCTTCTCTCCCTTTCCTTCTTCCTCCTTTCTCCTTTTTTCACTTCTCTTTTCATTTCCTCTCTCACCTCTTCTTATTTTCTTTCTCAATTTCCTCCTACCCTTTCCTTTTCTTTTCCTTTCTTTTTCACTTCTTCTTTCATTTCCTCTCTCTCTCTTATTTTCTTATTTCCTCTCTCTCCTCTTCTTAATTTCCTTCTTCCTTTTTCCTTCTTCTTTTCACTTCTCTTTTCATTTCCTCTCTCTCCTCTTCTTATTTTCTTTTACAATCTCCTTCTACCTTTTCCTTCTTCCCTCCTTCTTTTTCACTTCTCTTTCATTTCCCTCTCTCTCTTCATATTTTTCTTTTACAATCTCCTCCTACCCGTTCCTTCTTCTTTTTCACTTTTCTTTCATTTCCTCTCTCTCCTCTTCTTATTTTCTTTTACAATCTCCTTCTACCCTTTCCTTCTTCCCTCCTTCTTTTTCACTTCTCTTTCATTTCCCCTCTCTCCTCTTCATATTTTCTTTTACAATCTCCTCCTACCCTTTCCTTCTTCTTTTTCACTTCTCTTTCATTTCCTCTCTCTCTTCTTCTTAGTTTCTTTTACAATCTCCTCCTACACTTTCCTTCTTCCCTTTCACTATTCTTTTTTTCCTATGTTATTTCTTTTGAGAATTTTTCATTGTTTTATTTTCAGAAAATAATTTCATTTCTTTCCTCCTTGACAACCAAGTATTTCCGTAACTCTTATGATTTTGACAAAAGTGCTTACATGGCCTTGTTGGTGATGAATTCCTTTCTAACCTACAAACCCTTTCCCACATATGAAACGTTGCTAGCCAATCACTACTGCTATTTTCACTGCAAATTTTCAGACAAGTTTCATTCTTTAGTACTATCTTTTTACAATTTTATAGCTCGGACTTAGCATGTCAGTTAGAAGGGGTTGACATCTCTTCATTCATTTCATCTTCCATTGGTAATGAGGAAGTTCCATTCAGCGTATTCATAAGAACTCTTACTTTATGGGCCTTGTATTGCTTAAAAAATTGTATAAAAAGGTAAAGAGTATAAAATGTTTCTCTTCTTTTCTCCATGACAGCAAAACTTGGAATATTTCACTTTTGATTGTGTAGGACAAGAAGAAATAGATACTGAAGTCTAGAAAAGCAATATTAAAAAAAACCCACAAAAATTCACTATCCATTGTATTAGAAGAATGGACATTTCAATGGCATATTAATGGATCTCTGTTTGACTTCAACAAAATACATTTTTAATTTAAAAACATTTAACTTTAATGTTAAAGGCATATAGTCAAAATTTTAAAAAAATATCACTGATAAGACTTTGCATGATAGTTGCCCAATATCACAATTTCAAAGAAATATATAAACAGTGATTGAAGTGAAGCAGTTTTTATTCTTGTGTATTTGGGAAAGCAAAGATATGATTCATATTTAGAATTTTGGTATTTTTCAGAAACATCAGAGAAATTTTCAGGCTAATTTAAAAAACAAGTCTTAAACATGATCACTGGCAAAATCTTCATTACTAAATATTTTTTAATAAGATATAATTTTTGTTTATAAACAGAAGTTTTAGAAAATTATAGAAAACAGACAAATAATATACAGCCCACTACCTTTGCCTGAATAACAACATCTACACAACTTGGAATGGAATCTATGAAGAGCTAGAATCATTGTATTCAGGTATCTTGATGCAGTGGTGTCCCTGGGTTGACTTTAAATGAGTTACATTTCTTGGTTTTAGCTGAAAGAAATTGAGTAAGGTTGGTAACATCTCCCACATATGCCCAAGAGAGTTTAAATCTTGCGAATGTTGGGGCCAGCGGGGTACCTACAAGTCAAACAGATCTTGCTGGAACAAATTCTGTGTCATTTGTGTATGATGGGATGGAGGGTTGCATTATCTTGCTGTAAAAAAACTCGTTGCCACCAGGAAACAAGGAGAGCATGAATGGCTGCAAAATAAGACTGTATTAGGCACCTGTTAAGATGGACATCAGTTTGTCTCGTGATCATTAAAATGGAACATATTTCTATCCCATCACTAGCTTTCACAACTTCCTGGTAATAGATTTATAGTCTCCAATGGTATCTAGTATATATAGACTTGTATATCTGTGAAAAAGATTTGAAAACATGACTCATTATAAAGAGGCACACAATGTACAAGTGTTCCATTGTCCAACAGGGATGTTCTTTAGATTTATGGCCTACAATGGTCTCTGGTATATATTGACTTAAATGATTTCTCAAAAAAGATCTGGAAACACAACTCATTTTGAACAGACAACAGTATATAATGTACTAGTCTCCCATCATCTAACAGTGATATTCTTTGGCTCAGATGATTTAGACCAGTTTAATTGATGCCATGATGGCAGTAATGTTAGTCTCATTGTCCAGAAACTATAAAACTTCGTAGAATTGTATTAATAATACTGTATAGAGTAATTGCTTGATCAAGCAATATTAACATTAAATTGGGATGTGATTTGAGACTATTTTCCCTTCCATTGGGTGATTTCCATCTTTGTCAGTCACCAATATTACCATTCTTGCATCAACTGATTTTCATGTAATGCTGATGTGTGCCTGGTATTCACATATTCCTTGTATACCCTTGCCTGTAGAAAACTTAAAATTTTCTAGTTGCTGTCTCAGAGATAGATCCTGATCTTCAGCGAAGAGAAAGATACCCGGAACAGAGAATTCATTGGCAGCAATAGGAGAATTTAAATTAGTTTTCGCATTGGGGGAAGATATATATATTTCAAGAGAAAATATTATACAGCACAAAAATTGGAACATATTCCACAAATACTAGAGAATGAATGGAGGTATTTGATTTTTTTTGTTTACACTTATTTCTTTTGTTGTGAAAAGGTTTTGTTAAGAAGAAGACAAAGGACAAAATAATCATGACTATCATCAATGGCAATACAAACTGGCCAGAATGTGACTAAAACCAAAGCATAAAATGGCCTTAGAGTTGCTCACTGGAAATACATGCAGCACCTACCCATGTGCAGCATGGCATGACAGATACCCTAGTATTATGCAACTATATAATTTCTATTATAATTTAGCGATCACAAAATTTTTTGCCTTTTTGAAATCTGCTAAAGATTCCATGACATATTGACTGATTATTGGCATTGAACACAATGTTCAGCTAGAATATGTTGAACTTGAACAGTTTTATCAACTAATTTATTATATTCCCCTTCTTATTTTGATATAAAATTGTCACAGTTTATGACATCAGTGATTTTTCACCACAAATTTATTGTCTATTTTAGATTTTCCCAAGAACCTTTTTTTTTTTTTTTATTTTAGAAATTGAGAACATACCTGACAATAACGTTTTAGTTTTTCTTTGGCTGAATTTATCTTTTTGATTAATATTTTTTTTTTACATAGAGTGAGAGAGAGTAGGGCATACTTTCTTCTCCACTTTTCCTTTAGTTTTCTAGTAAGTTGATATGATGAGTCACTTCTTCATTCTCTCTTTCACTGTCTCCTTTATTGTCTCCATCACTGTCTCTTTTAATGTCTGCATCACTGTCTCTTTTGATGTCTCTATCATTGTCTTCTTCACTGTCTCCTTTATTGTCTCTTTTATTGTCTCCTTTATTGTCTCTTTCAGTCTTTTTTATTGTCTCCATCATTGTCTCTTCCATTATTTTGTACTTTGTCTCTTTCATTGTTTTTTTTTTGTCTCCTTTAATGTCTCTTTCATTGTACTTTTCTGTACATCTAAAATCTTCCAGCTAAACAAATCAATTGTCTGTATGTTTGAAAGAGTCATCACATCCAATACCTTCTTTATAAACCTTCTTTTGTTAACACATTTCTTGTCCATTATTCAGCTTTCATCAGAAGAAATGTTTTAACAATAGCAAAAGAAGTTGAAGAAAAGATTGAATTATCTGAAAAATATTTGCTGCATAAAGCACCTCACATAAGTTAGCATAAGTGTGTATGTGTATATATATATATATATATATATATATATATATATGCACATACACACTTATGTATATATATATATATATATATATGCACATACATATATTATATGTATATATATATATATATATATATATATATACACACCTTGTAGAGGATGTGTGTCTGCAGGTTTGCCATGGAATGAAGTTAAGGCTGAGAACCGTCAAAGAAATTGAATTCAACATTTTTAGAAAGAATAAATTTCAACATGTGGAGGAATTTTACATACATACATCTATATATATGGCCTGACGATTGCATCTAGCATGAAACAGACTGTCGCCTCTGAGTGTTGACTTCAGTGTTCACTTTTATATTTACACACACTCTATCTCTGATATTGAGCACTTTATCCCATAAATATAGCACATCTTAAGACTATATTTCTTCATATATATATATATATATATATAGAATAACAATACGATAAGATATAATACTTGTGTGTGAATGTAGATAAGTGGCAAAAAGAAGAAAATATTTAAGACTTGGCTAATTCAAAATGTATTTGTGATGTGTGTACATATGTGTAAATTACATTTGAGGAGATCAAGACATGGTCAGTGTTGCAGTTAGTGCAGTGGTTAGTTTTGGTATTTGCAGACACAGTTTAGGGAATCATGTCTTCTGATGTCCACAGGTACAACAGATGCCAATGATTTTATATTGAATGTCTCCAGAGGATGATTTGTAGCAAGCCTTGTTCTAGAATTAGGTGTCTTATCACACACAGACTTATAGTGATAGCAGCAGAAATCCAAGAGTCTTTTGTCATTTACATTCATTTTCCTTATACCATGGAGACCTAACGCATTTGGCCAGGTCTCTTGATCTCTGCCCACTCTTGCATTAAAGTCTCCCAGAAGAAAAATATGTTCATACTCTAAAGTTTACAAGGCCTTCAAATGTAGAGAGATGAAGAGTGAGAATTATTTGTGTTACTGATTAGAGCAGTGGTTCCAACACTTTTTTGGATTGCGATCTATTTTTAAAATCACCAAGTCAAAATGATTTACATACAGTAAAAATGTTAAAGATATTGTTATAGGGTCCACCCCTTTTTCATATAAGTGGATTCGACCAAAGTGTTACTTGGACTGCTGCCGTTAAATACCCAGAGTCACAGAGTAGTCAGAGAGTAAGAAGACTGTGATTGTGATTGAGT